TGCATGCAGCGAGCCTTCGACACTTCGAGTGGCCTCAAAGTGAACCTAGCCTGGCACAAGCGCCGTGGTGTCGTCACCGCTACTGAGTGGCGAACGGCGACCGTCGTTGTTAAATCGGCACTCACACTCACAGTGCACGCCAAGCGATGGGCACGGCGCGCATCAGCACGACACAGTTACATCACTAACTTGATATGAATATACACACATATTCAGGTCCGTGTTGAGAGAAATAAGAGTGGCAAGTTACAAACAACACGAGGATGATGACCAGAGGCGTAGTTGTGACTCCCAGCCCCTCCTCCCTCCCTCCCCAAAAAGATTCACCGTACTGAGAGAGAGCGAAAAACAAGTTTTGCTGGCTGGCTGCGTGTTATCCGTTGCTTCTCTCTTACTGTGCTAGCCCCTGTAACGGTCACGTCCAATGGGAAGGTCACGTCCGGAGCGAGGAACGAAACGGACAGGTTACGTCCAAAGAACGTGTCAAATTGTTAACGCATTATTATGATTATTTCACTTACGTATTTTTTTTTATTCGACAAATATATTGGGCCGAGACTGTTTCCCGAACTGAGTCGCCTCCAAGGGACACGCCTTATCTGCGTGCACGCCACTGACGATGGTGATGGTGGTGGTGATGCACATCTGACAGTTCAAACACTCGAACATCGCGAGGGCGAGTAATAATTAGAATCCTCACCATTGCTAAAGGCGCCGTCGAGCAAAGCAAACGCGCGGGACCAGTCGGAGGGCAGCGTCGTCCGTGCGTTGTGCGAACATCTGCTGGTCCCGTGAGCCTCTCAAGCCCACGATTCCCTCCCACGTCGGTGCCAGCTGAGTGAGGTGGCATCACCCGATAGCGGTTCAAAATGTATTTAAGCGGTCAACACCAGCGGGTATTGAAATAACCAATGGTTATAACTGCTTAGCCCCGGGCTATAAATTCTCTGCTACTTGGGTTGTGTTTGTACTCTTCGCAATGCCGTAATTATAATAAATATTGGGGGGGGGGGGACACATCCCCCCCCCCCAATATTCAAATATGCACAAAATGTCCCCCCCAATATATTGCTATACAATAGATTTCTATTTATATGATTGTGGTTATGGTTGTACGTTATGAATCCCTAATCTCTGCCATTACATACGATGAAACAAGAAAAGATGAAAAAAAGAAAATACAGAGCAATGTAATACAATACACTATTAGACATTGTTGTAAAAAAAAGAAGTCCATTCTATGTGTTAGTTAATTTTTTAATATTTTAGGCAGGTAATGGCAGGAAATTAGTTTTCAAATTTAGATTTTTTCTGGGGGGGGGGGGGACCCCCAGACCCCCTGGGAGATTTGGTCCCCCCAATGTTGACTCCATGGCTATGGCCTTGACTCTTCGCCTCGAGGCGTTCTCTGGGCTGTCACTGTTGAGGCAAGGTCACGAAGAATGCTGTCTCTGGTGTAGGCCAATCCGTTTCAAAGACAATGCATAAATTAGTATCAGAGCATGTTTGTTTGCATGTTTTTGCCACAAGTACGTGTGGTTAATGCAGGCTTGATGCCTTGCAAAAGGTACCTATTTGGTGTTTGGACATCTTAACACCTGTTTTATTGGCAGAAAGGGTAAAACATATTCTTATGTTAAGAGCGGATTACCGATTGTTATTCCGTCGCATTAGCGACGTTAAAAGAATGAACGGAAAAATGAACGACACAATCCACAGGGCGATTGCGGCCACACTACCAACAAACTTTGGAAAATATCGTAAACCACTGTAGTCTGTGGTCCTTCAACAGAGGAGCCGCAAAACGACTGGAACTTTCTCGTGGCTGGTTCAGACCGCGTCATTGGCATTTAGCTCCTAAACATATTGCCATCGCGTGCAAGAATTGAACAGCCGTGTGGATGTGTCTACGGTACTGTTTGCTGAACTTCTTTCGCACCGTACGTGATCAACCGGTGCTAATCGGAGGTGCGCGGGGCAAGGACAAGGGATATAAATGAATCGGCATTCCAAAAGTTTTGCTACCTTAGGTCGTACCAGTTTGCTATGCTCTGGCCCATGCAGTAACGCTCGTTTTGTTGTATTGAGTGCAATTGTGAACAGCCATATCAGACATCAGTACATCTAATCAGCATAATCATTGGGTTCACTGCAGTTCAAAGACTAAAGTATCATATGCTACGGGCCCTGCACTTTCAAGGGCCCCGCGCTAAATGTTTTCAAGCTACCAACTCCGGTTCAGTGATTCTGCACTTGCTCTATTACGATAGTACTATACTGCCTTCAACTTTTATGAACGACCGGGTGTTAAAGGTTAGCGATCGTATTATCTGGCTGTATAGCAAATGAACAAATACAATTACTTTACTATGCAAGTTAAAAATTTGTGTTTTAATATTTACGTGTTTTTTTTTATTTAGGGCCCCTTTATAACATATGCTACAGGCCCCGCACGAGCTTAATACGATGATGGTGGTAATGGTAATGTTTCTGTGAGAGGCTCACTGCAGGGCATGGAAACATGGTCACCCATGATCATCACATATTGAGCACTGATGGCAGTGAGTTACACTTGCAGCGTAGGGCTATCGCGAAGGCGCTGTCCATCACAGACAGGTATAGTCTGCATGTAGGGGGGGTGGGCGATGTTGCTCTCTGGCCTCACCGACCCGCGGCTTTCCTGGGAAATGTTAAAGCTGAGTAACAGCCACGGCCATGAGCGCATCCGTCAGCAGTGTGCTCACTACTGCCATGGATTTATCCGGTAAAAGCCTCACTGATTCCCAAAATTATTTTTAGGAGGGTCCTGCTCCGATGGGATGTTTGCTTAATGCAATGTTTTTCACACATTTTCAGAGGGGAAGGGGGACCACTTTCGCCGATAAAACATCATCAGTGCCGATGGCCGTTGTGGGTTTGACAGCAGCACGATGATGATGACGATGGGGATGTGGTGTTCACGTGTTGTGTGTTGTCGGGGGGGGCGGCCACTTCAGGGGCCGCACTAAAGGCCACCAGGGGCCGCCAGTGGGCCTGCTGGCCTTGAGAAATGAAGAACGCTGCTCTGGTTTAATTGGGCGCTTTGCATTAACGAGCGGGATGGGAACCGGAGCACTCGGACACACCACCCACGCGCACGAGCAGATAACGCTCGAAACGTCCGCAACAGATGGGGCCACCATCCCACGTGCTCTACCGCACTCCCGTCTGCCCACCTCGCATTCCCGCGGGTTTGGGTTGGGAGATTCTGATGGAATGGCTACTGTGGTTGGTTGGTTGTACCGCGATTGGTAGGATCGTGCGGGGAGCGGTAGTGTAGCGGTTAACGTGCTGAGCTAGGGACCTCGAAAATCCCCAGTTCGATTCCCGCTCACGGACAAAACCAGTGACGAATGTCTGAACCGATCCTGGGCCACCGTCTAGGTCGACTTTAGGCTCAACTGAGTACCTGGTGCGATGTGTAAACATTGCCACTAGGGAGACAAAGGCGGCCGGGAGTGGTACTTTACACCCTCCCCCTCCCCTTGTCCGTGTGCCGTGTCGGCTTTCATGGTTGCTCGCTAACAGCACTCGCCCCAAGGGTCTGTTAAGGCTTTGCGGGGGGTCTTTGTCTTCGGTAGGACTGTGGGTGGGGTGGCCGTCCATAAATGACGTCACGCGATTTTGGACGATTTTTGACCCCCCCCCCCTCGTCACACGGCGTCACAAAAAGTCAGACCCCCCCTTCAAATATGACGTCACAAAGCTCTGCCGCCCCCCCCCCCAAAAAAACATATTTCCATTTTGAAAATAAAACATGCTTCAAATCGCTATAAACTATTGTCATTGTAGTGCGTATTTAATGCGGCGCTGCACTCTTGATGTTGTAGGAGAAAACATTTATTAAAAATTATATTTAATTAAGTAGAACCTGTTGTCTGTATTTATTTAAAGTTGCGCATTTTGATGTGACGCCACATTTCTCAAACCCCCCCCCCCTCGTCACACATCGTCACAAATCTCTGACCCCCTCCCCCCCCCAGGTGGGTGACGTCATTTATGGACGACCCCTGGGGTGGCAATGGCTTGCCCAGGCGAGGTGCTCAGGGGACCGACGCAGCCCCGTAGTGTCACGGGGAGCGGGCGACGGGGCTTGGCCCATCTCCCCAACCCTCGGTGCAACATTTACACAAACTCTGGTGGTTGTGTCCTCACAAGCTCGACAACTTTTCGCACGGAAAACAAAAACCGTTGAGAAACGAGCGCAAAGCGCATGGGCAGCTGAGGGAAGATCGTGTACCGTGACTCGTTCTGCTTCGCGCTTTAACGCTGTGCCCCCCCCGACCCCACACGACAACCACCGGTCAAGGTCCAGCGCTGGACAGAGCCTGCAAGGTCACGGTTCAGCGCATGGGGGCCTCTATCGGTCACCGCATGGATGCGTTTCTGCGGCCATCTGGAACGCTCCTCCTTCCGATGTCAGGAGGCCACTGGGGAGCTATGCACATGTTAAAGTCATCTCGATCGGAAACTAATTTCTTAAATTAAAAAAATCTACTTTTCGTGTTCAGTTCGTTGTCCTACGCCCCGCGCCTCCGATAAGCACGGCTGGCTACGTACGGTGCGATAAAAGTTCAACGTACGTGCACCGCGCATAGGCGGCTGAGTGGGGGCGTCACTCGCACGCGGGACCCGGGCAGCCGCTGCCTTCAGGTGCGAGGCGCAGGAAGTGATGTCAGGGGGGGGGGGGGGCGAACAAACGGGGAGAGAGAGAGCGAGAAGGAGAGCGCTGAGAGTGAGAGGGTGCAGAGCCACGAGAGAGTGAGAGCGGAGAGAGGCGCAGATGGGGACGAGATCAACGCTCGGCGCTTGGACCTAGGAGGTGAAGGAGGCGGAAGAAGCGCACGGGGAGAGGGAGGAACAGAAGGCGAGAGGGGACGAGGTTGAGGTGGCGGCGAGAGGCACGGGGAGAGGGAGGAACAGAAGGCGAGAGGGAACGAGGTTGAGGTGGCGGCGAGAGGCACGGGGAGAGGAGAGGGAGGAACAGAAGGCGAGAGGGAACGAGGTTGAGGTGGCAGCGAGAGACACGGGGAGAAGGAGAGAGGAACAGAAGGCGAGAGGGGACGAGGTTGAGGTGGCGGCGAGAGACACGGGGAGAGGAGAGGAACAGAAGGCGAGAGGGAACGAGGTTGAGGTGGTGGCGGGAGAAGACGACAGGGAGAAGTAGAAAGGAAGACGAGGAGGTGGAGGCGTGCGGGAGAGGAGGTAGGACGCGTGACGGGAGAGGAGGAGGAGAGGAGACGACCCGAGACCACAGGATTAAGGAAGACAAAGGCGTGAAGACACCGGGAGTGAGAGAGGCGTTCGCGGTAAGAGCGAGAGGACCGACAGGGAGGTGAGTGCAGCGCGCTTTTACGCAGCGACGCGCGGCGCCTCCACTCTCCGCCGTCTACGCATCTCGGCTCAGATAGCCACCGGCCCGGCGAACGTAAATGAGCCCCCCCCAGGCACCCTCGTGTGCCCGGAGTCGATGGCGATGGAGTCGTCGAAAATGTTTTCGCCGTTATACAATTCGCGAGTGGCGACCATCCCCGGCGCGTCTCTCGAGTTGTCGCGCGCGTGGTTTTGTGGAGGGGGGAATCCACTTCTTGACGCGTGTCGCTCCGCGCGAATGGCAACTTCCAGTGCCTGAACTCCGCCAGGGTGGACTGTGAAAGTGGTGGTGGTGGTGGATAGGGCCGTTCGAGGATAGTTGTGGAGGAGGCATTATTAACATTGTGGATGTACGCACACGCGCGTGTGTGTGGGGTGTGTGTGTGTGGAGTGACACAACAACGAGCAGAGGTCCTGGCGGATTAAAACGCGGACAAATGAGAGCGTGGGGGATACGCACTTAGCTCGCCTGCCAATTGCCCCTGGCCAACCAACAGCACGAGGATCTTGCCCCTAGGACCCGCTGCCAGCGGTAACCTTTCTCTGTCGCACACGTTGGTCTCAAAGTATGCACGCAGTACGTCGAACTTCTTTCGCGCCGTACGTAGCCAAGCGTGCTACTCGGAGGTGCGGGAGGTGCACCTAGCCTGGCACGAGCGCCGCGGTTACGTCTCTGCTGTTAAGTGGCCAAAACGTAGAGAACCTCCTGGCTTCGACAGTCCTCCTCGAAGCCGCTGGTGGTGGAACCATCGACCGCATCAGAACATCAACAGCAGCAGGCCGATGCGCGCATCTCTGTGAGTGGAAAATGAAAGAGGCGAGCCACCGTAGTGCGATTGTGGCCGTGCAACCCAAGCTATGGACCACAAGGTAAAAAACAAAAACCCCATAGAGGCACGTGGAGGACACACAGACACTCGGAGATACAGAGAGACCCACAGGGACACACACTGATGCATAGCGACGCATAGATATACATAAGAGACCCATAGAGGTCCGTTAAAGACAAGCCATGGAATCACTGTGGTCAGCGAAAACGACACGAACTCTCTCCCGAAGCCCTCTCGTCGTGGCCAGCAGCATTTGGCTCCTGAACGCATTGCCAAAACCGCACGAATCGAATAGTGGTAAATGGTGGATGTTGTGGTAGGGTGTGTGTCTCATCTGTTTGAACCATGTATGGGTGTGTATTCGTGTGATTGCGGGTATCATTTTTTTTGTTTTTACCAAGCAAGGCCCACTGAGCTACACAGCTCTTTTTCAGAAGCGAACTGACCACAAATAATAGCTTAACGAAGTGGCTTATCGTCATGTGGAAATCTATAGCAGCCAAATACTCTAAAGCAGCCAATGGGTCCATCGATTGGGAAGTCTATAACAGTGGTCGTCTCGTCGGTCTCAATGTGGAATTTGCACCGACGGCTGGGTCGCCAGACGAGATGAGCTTTCCTCCCACTTCTCGTTTTAGCAACAACAGCACCACCACCACCAAAGACAAAGAACCCTCGTATAGCCTCAACAGACTGTTGGGGCCAAGTGCTGTTAGCGAGCACCTATGAAGGCCGGCACGGCACACGAGGGGGTGGGTGGCCAGCACCACGTCCGGTCGCCGTTGTCTCCCTGAGTGGCGATGTTTGCACACCGCACCGGGTAACTGATTTGAGGCCGAGTTGACCTAGGGGAGGCCCTGTTCAGATAACCGTTACCGGTGTTGGCCGTGAGCAGATAATCGAACTTGAGTTCGCCGGGTTCGTAGCGCCGTGCACTAACCGCTACACCACCGCTCACCCCAAACGATACCACCACCACAACCACCACGTACCTACGAGTTTGACTTTTGATTTTGCTCGGATCGACGCGACGGAAAATAAACACTCGATGTGACGTTGGACTGGGACCAGGGCTGCCCCCGCACCTCTCCCCAGCCCCCCGGGGGCTGCCCCCACACCCCCACGGGGTGCTGTGCGCACTCTACAGCAACGCGGTAGCTCGCCAACCGAAGCGGCCAACAGGGCTCGCGTCTGTTGCCGTGCCCAGCCACCGCGCCCAGCCGCCGTGTTGCAGTGCGTGGCTGCGCCTCTCTATTTCTCTCATTCTTCCTCATTCAGCCCTCGCTCTGCTCTCTGACTTTAGAGCCGCCCCATGCCAGTGGCGTGGTAGCGACGTGGTCAGCTCAGGGGGTATCGGCAGCAATGGGTCATGTGGGCCCCCCCTCCCCCCTACAAAATTCAGATTTGTCTTGCACGGTCGCACCTAGGTTGTTATATATCGCGGTCTCCTCTTGCCTAAGCACATCATTAAACAGTTTTATTTAAACAAAAATTCAAACCGTGGGTTTAAACAAGTGTTTCGTTCTTTTACACTGTTCTTGAAGACAAATCTCATGGTGGTTGTCAAAGGGGGCCCCAACTCGTAGCTTTGGCCACCGAGGGTGGAGGGGAGGACGTCGAGGTACGCTCCTGCCCCCTCCACCCCCCCCTATCGCCTCTTCTTCTAGGCTCCTGTGATGGCCCTACTCGACTCAAAACTCGAGTTCTTATTTCCTGTATCATCATTAGCTCTGGCAGGTGCTGGTCCGCTTTTGTTAAGTTGTGCGATATTCCTTAAGGGCCCTCTACTTATTTTTCGGCAATGTTGATGGGATTTTTGTTTTGTCCTTTGTGTTTTGTCCTTTGTTGATGTGTTGATGTTGCTGTGCTCACGGCACCACGGATGTCCCATGTAAAATAGCCGGGCAACTTGCTGAACGGGGACACCCGTGTAACGAGTCAAATCGACTCCAACTAAAAAATATACAACAGGGCTGTGTATTCGTGCGGGCGTGTGTGTGTGAAATGTACGTGCTTGCTCCAGCACTAACAGCACTTGCCCCCACAGTATGTTAAGTCTTTTTGTGTCAAATTGACCGGAGGCAAAACCGTGGTGTCGAACACCCCAGTTGTTAATATTCAGGTTTGTTGGGTGGCTCAGAGGTCAGAGACACCGAGCCCAGCACCGATGAGATTTAAAGCTGCGATCTCACGTGCGAAGAGTTCATGGCCCCAGCCCAGTCCCGCGTGACTTGCGCGAAATGGGAGTCGGCAAAAATCACATTTCGTGATTGCCACAGTCCGGCTCGGTTCATCTCCGACGGATGACAGCGGGCGGCGCCGCCATAGCCACCTTCGCTTTTTTTACGCTGCAGGTGTGCTGTCTCTTGCCCTCTGTGAAGTAAACACGCGAGCGATGGAGCGAGATCTCCGTGCGGCGTCTTGCGACGAGGTCAGCATCAGAATTTAACCTGGAGAAATCCGATGAGAGATTAAGCTCTTTCTCACAGATATCTGGTAGGAGCGGGTCAGCAAGTTACAACTACAAACAATACAGAGAAACGGTAGGAGTGCAAAGTATAGGAAAGGTGAGCAAACCGCTATCAATAACTACACTTAAACTCAACTTTTAATTTTACCAGCTAAGGCCGACTGAGCTATTAGCTTCTTTTTCAGAAGCGACCTGGCCACAAATGATAGCTCAACGAAGTGGCTTGTCACATGTAAATGTACAGCACCCAAGTAAACAAATGTATATGAAACATAAATCCACATTGTGTGTGGCATTGTGTAAATATCTGTACATGCGGTCCCTGACTTACGAACGCCCGACTTACTCTATTCTATGTTTGATTTACTATAAAGTATTCACGAAAGTATTACAGTACATGCAAATGTACAATGTTTCCTCTTATTTATGAGCTTAACAATGCTTCCCTTTTTATTGAACCGCGACACATTTTATAGCATTGACCTACAGTATATGTCATACAAATACGGTACATTGTTGTCTTTCAGCTTACGAAGGGGTCTCGGGAACTGAATGTGTTTGTAAGCCGGGGACTGTCCGTACTCGGCTTACAACCACCTGAAATGCAGGGCATGAGGTGCCCAGTTTAGCGTGGATAAGAGGCAATTGATACAACTTCAGAAATGAAAAATATCCGTTGCCCATATCATCGCCTATTGTATATTTATTGGTGTTGGTTTAATGTTATCTGTGCTATCCGCGATGCCAACTCAGCTCTTTCCCGAATATGGCGTGTTGCAAATCTTGGATGGGTTGACTCATGCTTTGAGTTTGTTGTTGTTTGTGCACTGCTGCCAACGTGTAGCTGATCCATCAACAAAGGCGTATGTGGTTCGCTAGGACTGGAGTTGTGAACTGGTTACGTCTCTCGAAGTGCGAGGAGAGGAAACGAATCTCAATGGGAACCAAAGCAAATAAAAAAAATAACTCCGCTCTGCGCCCCATTGTCCTCCTGGACATGTGTGAAAAAGAGCTTCATAGCTCATCGGATTCCTCCAGTCTGCATATCGATTTTGATATATACAGGGTACTTCACTGCCTGCACACTGGACAGCTACGCCACAGCGTTGGAACGCGCGCTGGAACTCCCGTACATAGCTCCGACAGGAATGTCTGCATTGAACTCCAGATTTAGCTCAGGAATTTACTGAGGGGGTGCAATTATTATTTTTTCTTCCGTTAAAGTATTTGTCCTTGGCCGAAACACGGCACCGCCGGTAGACTGAGACCAGTTCGTAATTCCTCGGGAAGGAATTCGCTTCGAGAAAGGATTCCCTCCAACTCTCATGACACCTTTGCCACCAAGAGGGCCCCTCGCTCTGCGTTGTTTAGGCCATTCCTTGGTTGGTGTGCGGTCGCGTTCGTGGGAGAGAGCTCGAGAACAACCTTGTACACGGTGGGGGGTGGGGGGAGTTCACGAACCCGCCTTTATTATAACCTCGTAGCCCAGGGTATAAGGAATCTTGCGGGGCGCAATAATCCTCACGTGTTCCACCAACCCCCGCCCCCCAAGGCAGTATTGCCAACTCGGCGCGTGATTATGCCGCCGGATTAAGTGACTTTGCGGGTGATCTCCTGGCGACTTAAAAAAAATCGTCCAATCTGGGCACATGTACGAGCAGA